AAAAAAAAAAAAAAAGAAGAAGAAGGAGGAGGAAGAGGGGGAGGAGGCGAAGGAGGAAAGAAAGAAAGAAAAAAAAGAAAAAATTTGGTCGGAATCTAATCTAAATATACCTATATATTTTCTAACCTGAGATACACTAAATGAAAATGAATTCCAATCGTGGTATACCATTTGTTAAAAGAGAGAGAGAGATTTATTCTATCTGATTTATGTAAATATAACCCCTCTGTACATCACCTTTATAATAATTTTTTTCAAAAATTGAGTAAATATAAATGGAAAATCTCTATTTACAGTTGTTCCAGTGTCAGATTATGCAAAGTCATTTTGTGTGATTTAAAGGAAGGACTTTTCATTCTATTCAATATATATCGTATAAAAATTTTATGTAACTTGTGGGTAGGGATGGGATGGGGAAAATAGGGGAAAGTGAAGGAAAGGGTGATATTGTCTAAGAAGCACTGTGCTCATGACCTGAATTATACAACTTATAGAACTACTTGACTTTGTACAACTCCTAATAAATAAATAAAGGAAGGAAGGACTTGCACTTTTTCTGTTACATGCATCTGTTTTGTTTGAGTATTTTACCACGCTATGAATTACTTACATGTATGTCTGTACACTAGAAATTGCACCCAGAACTTTGCTTATGCTAAGCACACACTTTACCACTGAGTTATACCCTCAACCTATTATCTGTAATTTTTTATTTAAATAAAAACTGTTAAATTGTTCAATCCTAAGAAAAAGGGTAATATTCCATGACTAGAATCTGAGACCCACAACTGAGTTTTCATACTAGCTTATTGAGAAATGGAAAATGAGTTGCAATTATATCTCTAAGCAGGACTATGAAAACCATTTGCTCCAGTAGAAAATGTAGCTTGTAGTACTCATTTCATCCTGATGTTTCTCCAGCTCTCTGCCCATAGAGGAACAGAGCCTCAGGAGTGTGGGACAGCCTATCTATCATGGGATGGATGCCCGAGGCAAGTGAGGTCATTAAGTCAGCCATCTCTCTACAAACATAGCTGCATCCATCATTCGAGAAATAATTTTTTTCTTAAACACTGCTGGGGAAAGTCAGTACACCTCTCCTCCTCCTCTTTCTCCTCTTCCTCCTCCTCCTCCTTGTTCTTTGCTCTCTCCTTTCCTCTCTCAATACTTTAACACAGTATAAATGTTTTTATGTGTTTTTAATTGTAAAAATAGTTACACTAATACACATGTACACAAATGACGCAGAAGTGAAGAGTTAAATACCTTTTCTCACCCAAGATAACCACCCAACAAATTTCTGCATCCTTCCAGACTTTTTCCTCTGTAAGTACTGATATTCATGCACTCATTCATTTATTCATAAAAGCTGCAGAACTCTGGCCAGGCACCAGTGGCTCGTGCTTGTAGTCCTAACAACTCAGGAGAATGAAATGAGGAAGATTGAGATTTGAGGCCTACCCAAGCATTCATGTGAGATTCCTTCTCAAGCACAGTAATGCGTGCTTGTCACCCAGTGACATGAGAGGCTGAGGTTGGGAGAATCATGGTTCCAAGCCAGGCTGAGCAGAAAAATTCTTGAAACTTTGTTGCAATGGAGAGAAACTGGGGGCGGGGGGCTGGGAAGGTGGCTCAGTGGTGCAGTGCTTGCCTCCATGCATGAGACCCTCGGTTCTATTCCTCAGCACCATATGCACAAAAAGCCGGAAGTGGCGCTGTGGTTCAAGTGGTAGAATGCTCACCTTGAGCTGAAGAGCTGAGTGCCCAGGCCCAGAGTTCAGGCCCCACAACCCACCCACAACCCACCCAAATAAAGAAAAAAAACATTAAAAATTTTTTTAAAAGAAGGAAACTGGGTATGGTGGTGCATGCCTGTCATTCCAGCTATGATGAGAAGCCTGAAACAGTTTTGCCCAGTGGTTTGTTCAGTGGTTCACGCCTGTAATCCTTGCTACTCAGGAAGCTGAGATCTGAGGATTACAGTTCAAAGCCAGCCAGGGCAAGGTCTGTGAGACTCTTATCTCCAACTATCAAAAAGCCAAAAGTGGAGCTGTGACTCAAGTAGTAGACCACTATCCTTGAGCAAGAAAGCTCAGTGACAGCACCCAGGCCCTGGGTTCAAACCCAGGACCAGCACACACACACACACACACACACACACACACACACACACA